ACATTGTTTCCAAAACGTGCCCTCTTAAAGATGAGTGAACTCCACCACCAAAAATCCCCCAGCCAGCAGGGTGGGCTGGGGAATTCTGGGAGTTGAAGTCCACTCATCTTAAAGTGGCCAAGTTTGGACAACACTGTTCTGAGGCCTCACCAACTTGTGATTTTTCAATCCAGGCCAATATTAAATAATCAGGACGCTTTAGTAACTGCTAGGAAGTCTCGGGCAGAACTTCATTGGATGGGACTGAATGAGTCGCTGTCTCTCAATCCATCCAACCACGTAGGGCTGTTATGAGGATTATTCCCAGCACAATGATTTGCTCCACAAACTATGCAAACCCAGGCCCCAACTGACCACGGTTCCAGGGGGGTCTTCAGGGTGGGAGTCAAGACAGCCAAAATGTGGGCCACAACCAAAATCACGACCCACACCAAAAGGGGTGCGGCGTTCACCGCACGCTTACGGCTGCCATCTTGACCTCTGTGGACTCCCCCTGCGTGGCTCATTCAACGAACCACAAAGCACCACAAACAACCCACATCAGGGTTTCAGCACCCAAACCCAATGCAGCCTGACAACTCACGGTGTTAGATTTGGACAACCCGAGGCCACGCTCTGCCCGACCTACCTAACAGGGTTGTTGTTGTGAGGAGAAAATTAGAAGTGGGACGTTTATTTATTTATTGTTCAAATTTGTCACCGCCCATTGACTCTGGGCGGTTATTTAGTTATTTATTTATTCAATTGGTACAGCTGCCCATCTCACCTAAGTGACTCTGGGCGGCTCAGAACAGTTAAAAACAATCCAATAAAAACAAGTTAAAAACCAACAGGCAAAGCCATAAAACCATCCATGAGCACTTTAAAACGTAAAATGCAATGAATACAGTAGGAGGAGCAGTAATAATAGCATCACTAGGAGGGTGCTGGGTGACCTCAATACTGGCACTTCCTTGGACACCTGCTGAGCCTCCCCTCCAACCACCACCTCCAGGTGGGCTGCACCAAAGTCCCTTTCCAAAATGGCCGCCTGCTGGGAATTCTGGGAATCGTAGTTTCTACCACCTAGAAAGCGCCCTGGTGGGGCAGTTGGTCCAGGGAGGGCAAAGGGGGCGCCTGCGTGAGGGACCTACGGCGGGGAGGAGAGAACCACGTGGGGATCCCAAGGGGAGAGGGAGGTGTCCCGCCCACGCTCTACCTTCCCTGTGGGCGCAGCGCCGGCATTGCTCGCGGAGCAGCAGAAGGCCGCTGCCTACTGCGGCCTTCGCCATCCTGCCTCGCGCAGGGTGATGGCGTCACGGGCGACCGCGGCCACGGCCGCCCGGGGCGCTTTGTTGACGTAAGACTTCCGTAATCTCTAGCCAACTCCTCGAGGCCGCCCGTGCGCGGAAAGCAGCGTTACATCAAGGTTTCTCGTTCGACACTCCATAAACGAAGCATGCCGCTCTATTTGTATTGTGTCTATGTCCTCATTGGAGCCCGCCCCCGGAGCGGATTCTTTCTCCGATTGGAGGAAGCAGCTGTCAATTCGCTGAGGGGCGCTTCCTCCAGTGTTGTCCGGGAAACCGCAGAACGCGGTCCGAGGGCTGGGTGGTGAGGAGACGTGCGTCGTTGGGGCTCCGGGGCGGATCGATGGCGGCGGGGTTGCTGGCCGGCTTGGGGTCGGAGCGAAAGCTTGCTCGCTCGGTGGCTCATCGGCTGTAAGGGCTGGGCCGGGCCGGGCCGGGCGGAGGGAGAAGAAATCTCTGGGAAGCAGGGAAGGGGTGTCCGTGTTCCTGAGAATGTGCAGAGTGCTTTCCACTCCATCCTCTGGGCGGATGGTGTGCTGACACCCCACCCCCCATATATCTTTTTTTCTTTGTTCCCGGTTTTGTTATTTCTGTCGTTTTTATTTTTTCCCCTTGTTTTAAAATCTTTTTAACGATTTGTAAACCACCCAGAGTCGCTGGGTGCTGGGTGGCATGTAAATTTAATAAATAAATGTAAACTAAATTAGGCCCTTGCTCCTTTTTTGCCTGCAAATTGATACAGCCATGCTGCAGTCACAACAAGGCTGGGGCACCAACCTTGGCGGGCAAAACCTTTCCGGGCATGAGATTTTAACAGTGGTGGTGGGCATTGGCCGTAATGATCCATTGAATAACATCCCTTCCTTCTCTTAGAAAGTATTACATTGAGGTGCAGAGAAAGGAAAACTCCTTCCAGTCATCTGGCATCCCCTGGGATGTGGCTGAAAGCTTTTATTTGGTAAGCCTCCCCATCTAATCTTGTGGCTGAACCCCAAATTCAAAGTTCAAGTGTGGTTCCTGAGCTGTCTGCATGTAGCAGCATTTGCGTAGAGACAAACGCAACTGATATTTTTAAAATCAAATTTGGTTACTGTTTTTTGTGACTTTACTGCTTTTGAATATTTAGTTCTTAAGTGTTATTATTGTTTTAGTATTTCTTCTGCTGAAAAGCAGACTGTTGGTATTTTAATGAGGAAAGCTGAAGAGCTGTCAGGGATAGGCACAGGATCTAAACATTTTCTCAAAAGGACAAAACGTGCTATCACAAATCTTATGCCTCTTACATACGTGGTAACTCTCTTGAAGATTGTCTTAATTTCCCATATAAACAGTGCTCATGTATTTTTAAATAATAATAATAAAAAATTATTTTATCCTTCCTTTATATTTGGTTAACACAAGGCATGAATATACATAATACCCCGCCTCCTATTTTCCCCACAACAACAACCCTGTGAGATGGGTTGGGCTGGGAGAGAGGGACTGGCCCAAAGTCACCCAGCTGGCTTTCATGGCTAAGGAAGGCCTAGAAGTCACAATCTCCTGGTTTCTAGGCCAGCACCTTCATCACAACACCAAACTCTGGCAAATTGAGGCAGTCATGCATGTCCTGAAATGCCCTTTTATCACACTTGGAGGATGAAGTTAATCTCTCCTCTAATCACAATTATTTGGAGCAGAATAATGACAGCACTTCCCATTAAATGATCAGGACTGTGAAGTTTCTAGAAAGGTGGCCGAATTTGTGCCATAGCTATGGCAGACTGAAACCGTTGGGTCTTGATGAGGTTATGCTAATTTCTGCCATGAATAGACCTTTATGCTGGAGATAGATATTTGTCTGTAACTGTATATTCTTTAATATGTTTTTTAAAAAATAATCTTTTTAATTCTCTTGCAGCACCCTGCTTATCTGACTGAGCACAGGACACAGGAGCACAATTTTGCCAAAATAAAGCTGGAAGCATTCCTCCGTGCCTATGTTGGCAGTGCTGAAGAATGTAATAGGAAAATCCAGGGAAGTCTGGCCAAGCAAAAGGATGTGGAAAAGCTTATTAAAAAGATGGCCCGAGTAATGCTCAGATACATCATTTTATATACTTCATGTAAGGGGAAAAATAGGGCCTATGTTTTACTCCAGTTCATATTCATTAAAACTGTTTCTCAACCTCAGCAACTTTAAGATGTGTGGACTTCAATTCTGGGAGTTGAAGACCCCTCATCTTAAAATTGCTGAGGTTGAGAAACATTGCATTATAACACCAAACCAGTTGATGGCACTTCCAGTATCTGCTACTAGTTCAACTTTCTTTCCATTGAAAGAGGACCAGCTTGGAGTCTCTAAATGTGGCAAGAACTGGGTCCAAGGGGCAGGATTTGAAAAGTTCTGACTGATCTCCAAGCTAACTTAGTGCCACAATATTCTTACTCTCAGTAGTGGAGTGTGGAATATGTGTTTGGTTGATAACAAACAGGACCTTTGTCTGAATAGGTTCCATTTCATTTCCTGTATTGTCAAATGATTGTCTACTCATCCCCGTTTGTGGTTGTGGGACTCACCTTTTTCCTGGAAAATAGAATGCACTGGATCTTGTATGACTGGAGTGTATTCTGGAAGAGAAATATCCGAAGTTTTTGCATGTCTCCCTGTAAGTTTCTTTACTTCCCCAGAATACCCCAAGCTCATAATGCCTGGGACATTCTAGGAAATTAACTTGTGGTTGTGAAGCAACCATTTTAAAGGAGCTGCTCAACTGGGAATGGAACAAATGTGAGTTTACCAAGAAATAATGAAAGCAATTAAGTTTTTCATTATGAAAATGAATGGAGTAATGAAATGAACAAAAAGTGTTTGTCCACTCTAAGTTTATCGTCTAGACCGAATCCATAGCCTTTGTATATCTGCAAACCCTGAATTTATCATTCTTGGATGTGATTTTACTGCATGCATTCCTGTTTTCTAAAAAGAATCTGTGTTATGCCAGATGGCAGACAAGCCAATGATGTGCCCTGCCTCTGTCTTTGTAGGATTATGTACCTGACAGAATGAACGAGGTAAAAATGAAGAGCATGACAAGGTAATAAATGTCATTAAGCTAGTTCAGCTTCAGAAACATTGGCCTCCCTGTTCATTTGTTGGCATGCAGAAAAGCAAATACAAATCCATGTGTGGAATCAGGATGTTTCCTCACAGAACTGCTAGCAAAATGTATTGCACCGAAGTGCAGGGCTGCCAGATCCGAGCTGTAAATATCCATAGAGCCCCTAGGAGGCAGCAAAGAGCCCAGAAGCGTCTGCTTGCCCTTAACTAGTGGTAGTCCAGCTATTTGCAGCACAGGACTGGTATCTTTACTTCAGTTTGACCAGAATGACATGTAACCCTGAGCGAGTGTTTAAGTTCTCCAGAAATCTGCCTTATATTCTGGGTGCCCTTCAGCCTCCTAAACAATCCTGCTAAACACAACTTGCTCACATTTTAAAAATATATCTCGGGCAACCCTAAGAAATGCCTTGTCCTCCTGTAGACAGCAGGCCCTTTAATATTGGCCGAACACACTCAACCATGCCTTGCAGCCATCATCTGGGCTATGAGATACTTCTGGATCTGGAGACTCTTTGTGTTCGCTCTTTGAACTGAAATAGGACAGGCTGGATGCAGCCTGCTTGCCTTGTCGGTTTTGAGGAAGCAAGATTTGTCTACGTAGAAGACCATGTTCTCCTTTGGGGATTTGCTTTGGCTAATAGTTGTGAATTGAAACCCATTTGTGGCTTCTCTGAACTAAGTATACTTTCCTCCACCAGGCAAAACAAGCTGCCGTGCAGCCTCTCCAGATTATACTTGAATGCCGTCCCACCCATGTCACCAGAAGAAGTAAAAAGACTGGTTTCATCAGCATCCAAGCTAATTGTTGCTGTGGTATGTACCAAGGGACCCTCTTCTCTTCAGACCTCATTTTGACATGGCGTTAAACCAAAATGGTATTTTGGGGCT